ACAGGAGTGGAGCATCCCCTTGCACAAATGTTTTATAAGCACACATTAATTTTATAATCATCATTGAATAATCCTAACAGCTGCTTCGACTGCTTCCTGTCTAACAGGATTGGTAATCCCTGTGATTGGTCGATGAGCAGGATAAACTGATTCCTGTTTTAGAATAGAACAGAATAGATTTCAACTTTATTGTAATGACATTGTCAAAAATACAGAGCAACAAAATTCACTCTCTGCATGTAACCCATCCCCTTGGGGAGCAGTGGGCTGCCATAGTGCGGCCCCCGGGGAGCAGTGTGGGGTTAAGGTCTGTCTGTGGGAGTGGGGCTTCAACTGAGAACCTGTGGGATCCAAATGAAATGCGCTAACCACTAGGCTGCCACCCCCCCTGTGTAAAAATTATCATTTTCTCTTCCCCTCAGAATATCAAACTACACGCCAAAGGTGGGAGAAAAGGAAACCCACAGAGCGATCCGACAAGCCTTCAACGTCTGGCAGGCTGTGACTCCGCTCTCTTTCCAGGTCAGATGTTCTTATCTTCTCCTGATCAGCCTAATTTGATCTTAATGAAATCTGGTCACCTGATGATCTTTTTTAGAGAATGAATTATGTAGAAGAAGACCGTTCAGGGAATTCTCCCTCAGGACCAAACCGCTGCTACTGTAACAGTGTAAGTTTCCCTCCCTCTGATCTACTCAGGAGGTCCCAAACTCAGATGTAGAGAACGACGGGAAAGACGCTGACATCATCATCTTCTTCGCCTCTGGTTTCCATGGTGACAGCTCTCCGTTTGATGGCGAGGGAGGCTTCCTAGCCCACGCCTACTTCCCGGGTGCCGGCATCGGAGGCGACACCCACTTTGACTCTGATGAGCCGTGGACGCTGGGAAACGCCAACCATGACGGTGAGGAGAGTTAAAACCCAGGAAGCTGCTGCTGACCAGAGCTATCAGCTTAGTTCAGCTTCTTCTGTCTCAGTTTGATGAATGGCTGCAGCAGGTAGCCTCTGCTTGAATAACTAACAATTCTCTACAGAGACAGAGAAGCAGGGTGAGCGATCTGTTTTTTAGAGATTAGCCCTAAAGAGAATGAGTTCTGGCTGATAAACTGTCTGACTGCAGCAAGTATGAGGTGGTTTCTGCTCCTCAGTTCAGACCAGGATCTGTTTCACCAGCTTCATATCTAAAATTGGGTTTAATTTAATGTTCTTTCATCATGCTCTGATACACAAGGTTCTGGAGGAAAACCCTACTTTGATTTAACCCTGAGTGTCTGCAGGAAGTTCAATGCATGCAGTGGCAATCACATTTATTTATAAGGGCTGTAATATTACACATTTTGTATTTAATCATTTATTTAAACCAACATTTGAAAATAAATGATTAAAGAAAAAATTGACATAAAGGCACCTCAACCAATATTTGGTTAAATGCATCACAGTGAGTTTGACCTGCATCTTAGCAGCGTTGATGCATTTTTACTTAGCCTAAGATCCGACTTCCAGGGATCAATCCTGGCCTGATTTATCAAACCCAAAAGCAGTATGGTTGTGTCAGTTAATATCATGCAACATTGGCACTCATATTGAAAACAAACAGTGAGATACTATTTAACAGGATATATAAAAAAAGCTAAACATGTTCAAACATGTTCATGGTGGTTCTGTTTTAAATGGATGGATGGATGGATGGATGGATGGATGGATGGATGGATGGATGGATGGATGGATGGATGGATGGATGGATGGATGGATGGATGGTACTTTGATCTCATTTGTCCGAGAAAGTCTTATTGTTTGTTTTTGACGCGTCCTTGAGGTCATTGTGGCCAAATTACATAATTTCCGTACTTCACTCATTTAATGTGTATTGTGTTAATCCTGATGTAAGGAGGAGATAAATATAAAGTGAATGTATTTCTCTAATTAGAGCTCAGATCCAGGTCTGGCTCACCATTCTGGAAAACAATCGATTGGCTACATTAATGTGCAAAACTTTGGGTTTTCTGATGCACTGAGGTTTTTTTTTTTGATGTTATCTCTTCATAATTTCTTCTTTTGAACTTTTTTAAAATAGGTTCAATGTTTAAATGCATGAGTATTCAAAAAACATAAGTTTTTTTTTTTCAAAAATACCTTCAGCCTGCAAAGCTGCCTCTCACATACACACCTGAACACACACACAGATGTTTTAATTGAAAGATTAGCGAACAGATAGTGAAGCGTCAGCCGGATTCAAGGTATTAGCTTCAGAAGGACAACATGAGGACAAACAGGACACATTTGTGCCTTCAGATTAAAACTTCACGTTCTCACCAGAGTCTGATGACCTTCTGTTATTAACCTGCCGACATCTGCGGGACGCAACTAAAGGCAAAGCAGCTCATGGGAGCTGCAGACCAACAGAGGCCACAGAAACAAATCCTCTGGTTCCTGTTTCAGCCACTCTCATCATACAGAAGGATTTAAACATTCCTTCATTAGCTGGGTCTCAACTCCTGATGCTGAGACAGGAGATGCAAGCTGACATGATGTGATTGTGTGAAAGATGTTCCTGAGATTAATGATTTTAACCTGGAGATTAGGAATATTGAGCCTGATCCGAACAGCTCAGTGAGTCCTGAAAAATCCACATCCATCGTGTTTATTACATGGGGCTGAACATGAAAGAGGACTGTTATCGATACTGTAAGGTTACGATGAAAGTGGACTTGCACCGATAGATACCCAGATCACACGAGGGGGACATTTGATGCTCCGACATGATTTTTATCTTCCTGCAAGGAGGAAGAAGGAAGGCAGAAGAGGGATAAGAAGAGATGCAGTCAGAGTTAAAGGAAATCTGATAACATTTCCATTACAGAGAAAAGGCTGCAGAAAAATCTAACTAATATGGATTGATACATGTCTGCAAAATCCAGGCCAGAAGAAACCTCTAAGTCTAATTCTTTAGTATATTTCAGTCCAGAGAAACAAGTAAAAAAAAACTAATAAATAAAGCTTTATATCTTTGTAGAACAAACTGCCCTGGAGCTGGAACAAAGGAATATTTCCAGATCTTTGTTTTATTTTTCAGTAATGAAAAGGATGGTTTAGATGTTTTAATTATAATCTAGTTTCATTCAGTTGTTTTAACGTCTCAGAAAAAGACATGTAGTTGCAGCCTCAATAGAGGTTTAGTTTGATTTGGACATTAAAGAAAAACATTTTACAGAGAGTGGATCGATGAACAAATTATGCAACAATAAATCTTCTTAAAAATGCACATTTGAACAAAATTGACATGTTATTGCAAGAAAATAATAAAGTTATTAAGAGATGTTTTGATACAGGCAACCCAAGTTGCTTGAATAGCTCTGCATAGAAGAATACCTGTTAGGAAAGCAGCAAATGGACTCCTCTGAAGACAGCATCGGTTTGCAGTCGAATATCCTCTATAAAGACTGCCGTGGCATTTGGGGCACTTTTAAATTAAATTTGGTTTCAATATATTTACATAGTTCCAATTTACCACATGTCATGTCAAGGCACTTTACAGAGACAATCAGATCCTCCAGTCAAATTGATTAACTGCCTTAACTATGCAGTGCTTCCAATTTTGCAGCCTCATGCTGCAACAATAAAACTACTATCTGTCATTAGAATTATTTCATATACAAGGCCAGACCCTTATAAATGGTTAAAACACAGCAGCTGATTTTATTTATGCATTTCATGTGTTTTGGGTGACTTTAGTTTGGCCATTTAAAAGGTAAATGTTCTATCTAAGGAAAACACCTGTTATTGAGTCAGCAGGAATCACTCCTCCTGGATGAGCATGTAACTACAGCAGACATTTGCTTACACTTTGTTATTGACTCTTCAGCAATCCCTCACTCTGATCATGCATGCAGGTAAAGTGGAGAGGAAAACTCTCTTTTAACAGGTAGAAACCTTTAGTAGAACCAGACTTTGTGTGAGTGGTCTTTTGGAAAGGCCGACTAGGGATTTAAAGGACAGAATCAGACATAGAAAAGAAGATAGCAACCCTGATCTAGAAATGTTTTCTATGGTAGAAAAGGTACAGCAAATGTAAACTAACTCCAGAGGTAGCTCTGTCTAGGAAAGAAACAGTTAAGCAGATGAGCTCTGGGACAGTTTTAATGCCAAAATGAATGAAAAAGAGCACAGTCACAGGAAAAGCTAAGCCCATAACTGTGTCAAAGAAAAACAGGACCATCCATCCACCCATCTATTCATCCATCCAATGGCAACAGCTCAGCTGATATTTCTCTCCAGGATCGAATCCCAGCCTAACAGAACCAGGCCAGATGGAGCTACTGTGATGAGGAAAAAAAAAAGATAATGTTAGGGGTTGCAGTGACAAATCCTGCAGAGTTATAGAATGCAGACATAATGATGACATTTTTTCTGTATGCCCTCCATCAGCATAAGTCTATTGCAGCATAACTATACGACAGCTCGGGATTACCTGTGTTGCTCTTACACCTTTCAGTGGTTAAGTTCAGACTTAACACTCTTGTTCTCTGCAGTTATACTTTGGGATTCAGCCTCACATATTGGGCGATAAATGAAATAATTAGGATGTATGTATAATAATTCTGTTGAAAAACACTGACATAAAGCAGTTGTCTGGTCTTGGTTCAGTTAAAATCTGATCCCCTCTGTTCTGCTTTGGCGTCGGTTTTAAAGTAGCCTGAAAGAAAGAATTAAAAAAGTTATGCATTCATACGGATCAAGACGGTTCAGAACTGAAGAGGTGTTAAGAATACGAAGTTCCAAGTTTTTTTACAGATGAAAAATAATATTGCTGTTAAAACTAACATCTTAACAAATCAGCAAGTCATTTAAAAGACTGATGGTTAATGGAGAGAAACTGAAATAACATAAATAGCAGTTTTTAACTCAATTCTGTTTTTTTTTTGTGTTTTTTTTAAAGTTTTTATCTCTTTTTTTCATTTGCCAATATCTGAGAATATGTTGTAAAGGATAAAGTGGGATCCAGTTGTTGACTGTATTTGAACTGGCCCAAGGCACAAGCAAACTAAGGTGCTCATTAGGGACTCTAGAGCAGGGGTCTTCAAGGTTTTCCAGGCCAAGAACCCCGAAACTGATGGCCAGATTGAGCAGGGACCCCCTATTTATATACATTGCATGAAATTGTGTAATATCAAACTGGTCCTATGGTCAGTCTATTTCATATAGTGTCATGTAACGATAGTAATTTCCCCCTGGGATTATTAAAGTCTGATTCTGATTCCTTGTTGATGGAATAGGTGTTGTGAATGAAACGGTGCCCAGCTTGAAAAAGCTCCTGTGAGCATTGATGACTGAAAGACATCTTCTGCCTCCATTTATCTGTTTATTACATTGTGTTGAATTCATGTTAATGTGTATTTAAAGACATTTCAATTAATGAAAAAAAAAATCCAGGGGGGAATATAAAAAAAAGTCTAATCAACCAAAACTTTTGCGACCCCCATGCAGTACCTCTGAGGACCCCCTACGGGTCACGGACCCCCTGTTGAAGACCTCCACTCTAGAGCATCAGGGGCCCCATAAATGCTTCAATTTGAACACAAACCATATTTCTAGACATTTTTTGTATTATTTTTTAATAAAGGAACAGAATATTATTTAATTCAGTTTGAAGGTTTCATGCAATATTAGTATAGATAACTCATTTATTTAAGTTTAGATATAAAGCAATAGACTAAATTTACTCTGTGAAAGTGTAAGCATTAATCATGCATTTTTGATGTTTCTGTTGCCATAGTTACAGCCCGATGCTATAACTTTAATCATCCCTTTGTGTTGGAGCTTTGGTTAAATCACAAATACATGTTAAGTTACTAATAACCTTGACTCCCAAATGGCACCAATCATTCACGTTCATGTAAATGTTGTGAAAACAAAAAGCGGCAACAAATCTAATTTTTGCCAGTCTTTAAAATATCTGCATTGAATTCACACCTTTGACAACAGACAGTGATGATTTGTCCAAATGTCTAAAAAATGTTTCAAGACAAAAGAGGGGAGAGAAAGTCAGAAGTGGAGCAGAAGGAAACAGTCGGTACCTTTACATCAGCGGCTCTAATCTTCACACACATCGGCTGCTATAAAGAAGCAAAGATAATTAGGTTCCGTAATTAGGTTCAGGCAGAGTCAAACCAATTACAGCGGCCATGAAATGTTTAATCTCAGTTTCGCCATCAGACTGTTGGAAGTTATTAAGTATCTGACAGCAGCTCAGAGTCCAGATTGTCTAATCCCTCATAGGTCCTCAGGGCCTCAGCTCTCCTTTTGTGTCAGGTCATTTAAAGAAACACCAGAAGTAAAGAGGTGGTTGATGTAGCTGGAAATAATCCACATTTACAAGATATCTTCAGCAGATAAAAAGACCCAAATTGTCAGATGCAAAAACATATTTTACTGATCTGGGTGAAGCTTTAGGTGTAGGGGGGTGGGCAGGGGGTCAGCTTAATTCAACAATTCCCCTTTCAGTCATCTTTGATATTTTAGGAAATCTGGAAAAATTATTGGGATTTTTTTTTTAGTTAAAGCAGTAAATCAGAATTGAGAGGAGTTGTTTTTTGTCTCTATAATCACAATTGCAGAAGGATTTTGATTTGCAAAGCTAAATAAAAATTAATACAATCAAAGTTATCTGGACAGATAAAATGTTTCATCATGCAGTAAAGTAAATTATTGCAGATATGAAACAGCATAGTGGAAAGAGGATGATGGGGGCTTGCTTGGCACCAACAGGATCTAAGCACCACTGAGTGGAATATTAATTCTTACATGTCTATATAATAATAATAATCATCATAATTATTATTATTATTATCTCTAAATCTGTTGTTAAAAGTATTATTTGAAGTGTAGCAAACAAAAGCAGAAATTGTGATAATTTTTCTCATGTGAATTGCTGCTCTGGTTAGAGAATTTCTACTGCAGATCTAAAGATGTTTTTGTTCTTCAGATTCAACATGTTTGCCTTTCATGAGCACATTTCTCTACAGCTCTGAATTATTAATACTCTCACATATTATATATTTAAAGACTAAAAGTGTGAGAGTCTGATGTTACTTTGAAGAATTGGACGATGAGATCATAAGTTACTGTAAAATCAAAAGCGTCTCAGACCAACTTCTGCTTAGTGGATCTGAGTGTTTGGTTCGTTTCTGTTGAGCTCCAGCTGAAAAGACAAATTGATGATTTATTTGTCATTGCTTCTATTTCTGTCCAGGTAATGATCTGTTCCTGGTGGCGGTCCATGAGTTGGGTCACGCCTTGGGGTTGGAGCACTCCAACGATCCCAGTGCCATCATGGCCCCGTTCTACCAGTACATGGACACGCACAACTTCAAGCTGCCTCTGGACGACCTGCAGGGCATACAGAAAATCTACGGTCAGGAATTTAATAGTAATAAAAAACAAAAATAAATGTTTTTTGTCTGACAGAATAATGCTGGAAGGTTGGAAGAATAGAGGTTGAATCTGATAGATGTGGTGAACTCTTTGAGGTGTCAGTGAATAGCCTGAACACAACATTTCACTCTAAATCTAAAAGCAAAAACTTGCAAAAGTAAAAACAGCGAACTGTTTGTATGAATTATTAATGCTGAGTCCCAAAGAGCTGCTGAATAATGAACATTATTCAACGTCCAGCAGCCTGGCTCTGTTTGAAGAATGAAAACGGATCAGAACCAGCAGCTTTTACATGGAAAGAGGAAAATTATAGGGAATAAAATGTGCAGCTTTGCCTCCGAGTTTTCACCAGAGACTCTTTGTAGCACAGACACAAAGATGGCCTCCATCTCAATCGGCTCTGATTGAAAACAAAGCGTTGATAGGCTTTCTGTTTGCTGTGAGGAATAATCAGCCCGGGCTTCAGTTGAAATGTGGTGGAACAATTATCTGTGATGCAGAGACACAAGAGAAGAAAGAGAAAGCATCTGCAGGGTCAGAGATAAGCTTCACATTTCCAGCCACATCATCCGCTACGCTCACTGAGCTCCAGGATTCACAGTTGGTTCACGGTTCCTCTGCTTCACTTAAACCATCAAAGCTGGAAGACCCTCACACCCCCCCTCCCCCGGATAAAACCTGAGAATCACCTCAAAGGCCATGATGCATGGCTGACATTTCATTTCAGGGAGATATTGACAGGAAACATTAGATCAACATGGCCCTCAGCGGTCTGTGAAGACACCTGAGCAGGTTCATCAGGTTGCTCTGAAAGGTGGAAAAGCCACCAAACACCGGCACTAACAGCTTTATTTCCCAGTGAAGCTGACAGTCAGGAATCCGTTTGTCTGTTACTTCTCTCAGTAGATCAAAGAGTCATTCTACATTATCTCTGAAATAACAGACCCAGAGATGTTTCTGAACAACTCAACCCCACGCAGCCTTAACAGGACTGCAGAGAAAAAATGAAATAAGCAGACTAAAGAGAGGCACAATTAAAGAATACAAAGAACAGAAAAAAATACAAAGTATATATATGTTTACAAAGAAAACTAAAACTGTCACTGATTGTAAAGAAAAAAACATATAATTTTTTTATTAAAGAGAGAATAACAAAACAAAAAAAGGAATGATGATGATGATGATGATGATGATGATGATGATGATGATGATGATGATGATGATGATGATGATGATGATGATGATGATGATGAAAGTAAGTAAGTAAATCATTCAGTCAGTCTTTGCTTCTGTACCCACAGGGATCCCCACCCCCATGCTGGAACCCACCCGGCCGTTACCCACGCTTCCTTCCCGACGGACCCACTCCACCTCAGAGTGCAATAATGACCGGCACTCCCGGCCAGGCCGTCCACCTGGAGAGAGACCAGCTCTTCCTGGGAACGGCAAGCCTAACATCTGCGATGGCAACTTCAACACTGTGGCCTTCTTCAGGAAGGAGCTGTTTGTCTTCAAGGTGAGCTGAGACACAGAGCAGGAAGGGACGGTAGTACCTGTCCCCAATCTAGGTAAAATTCCTTTAGTTTAAGCTTAAAGAGGTGCAGAAGGTGCTACTTTGTGTAATTACCGGGTGTTGTGGTCCAGATGGTGAGTCATACAGTCCTGTCGTGCTTTAAAGAAACAGGATGAAACAGATAAAGGTTAATTAGACGGAAAGAAGGATGGAGGAATTTGCTGCTTCCTGGAGAATGTGGATGCTGACATTTTCACTAATGACATATGACTCATCCTTGAAGGGCTGCACGATACAGCAGTGGGTGGCGCTGTTGCCTTGCAAGAAGGCGGTTCTAGGTTATAATCCCAGTTCAAGGTCTCTCTGTCCATGTCTTGGTTCCCACTGGTCCCAAAATCTGATTATTAGTTTAAATGTAGCAGCAGTATGATGTAAAAAGGATGCTCGACTCCGTTTCATTGGTCCCAGTGCGAGCAGTGTCGCCGATGGACCCCAGAGCAAGTTAGGTACCACAGCAGGCACCAGTCCACAAACTCCGTGGCACATTGGTTCATAACAAATACTCCAACCCCCAACAGGTACCCCGCCTAATGACAGAGGCCTAGATGTATTTTAAATCACCCCTACTACCCCCACTGGACCAAGCCACAGGCCTTATACTCCTAGTAGGGAAAGTAGCCGATCATAGGTGCCAAAAGATATCGATTTAGTGATGAGGTAGAGGTCTCTAGTTTAGGTAGATCTCTGGGTTAATATGATCTGACAGAATGTCTCTATACTGGTTAATATTTATCGATCCATCCATCCTTTTTCTTCCGCTTATCTGGGGCTGGGTTGTGGAGGCAGCGGTCTAAGCAGAGATGCCCAGACTTCCCACACTTCCTCCAGCTACAGTGGGGGGACCCCAAGGTGACACCAGGACATCTTAGAGACATAGTCCCTCCAGGGTGTCCTGGGCCTTCCACAAGGCCTCCTTCCAATGGGACATGCCTGGAACACCTCCCGAGGGAGGCAACCAGGAGGCAACCTAAGCAGATGCCCTTAGCTGGCTCCTTTTGTAAACAACTCTACTCCCTGCTCCTCCCGGTTACCTGAGCTCCTCACCCAATCTCGAAGGGTACGCCCAGCCACCCTGCAAAGAAAAAAAATTTTGGCCACTTGTATTCAGGATATTTTCCTTTTGAACATTACCTAGATATCATGACAATAGGTGAGGGTGGGAGCGTAGATCGATGGGTAAATCAAGAGCTTTGCCCCCCAACTCAGCTCCTTCTTCACCACAACAGTACGATACAGCGACCGCATCACTGCCAGCGCTCCATCCTTCCCTCACTCGTGAACAAGACCCCAAGATACTTGAACTCCCCTATTTGAGACAAGGACTCTCCCCAAAGAGGGGAGCCCACCTTTCTCAGGTGGAGAACCATGGCCTTGGATTTGGAAGTGCTGACCCTCATCCCAGCTGCTTCACACTCGGCTATAAAGCACCACAGTGCACGTCGGAGGTCCTGGTTTGATGAGGCCAACAGTACAACATGAGGTTCCCAAACCGGACACCTTCCGATGCCTAGAAATTCTGCAATGTAATGAACAGAATCGATTACAAACGGCAGCCCTGGCCGAGACCAACATGCACCGGGAACTGGTCTGACTTACTGCCGGCGTTGCGAACTAAGCTTCTGCTCCCTTAACAGAACAGTCACCATGCTCCCGGAGCACCATCCCACAGGGCGCTATGAGGGACATGGTCGTAAGCCTTCTCCAGATCCACAAAACACATGTGGACTGGTTGCGCGAACTCCCACGAACCCTCAAGTACCTGATGAAGGGTAAAGAGCTGGTCCAGTGTGCTCCGACCGGGATGAAAATCACATTGTTCCTCCTGGATCTGAGGTTCGAATATCGGCAGGATCCTCCTCTCCAGCACCCTGGAGTAGACCTTACTGAGAACGAGGAGTGTGATCTCTCTGTCATTAGAGCACATTCCACCCTCCAGTCCCCCTTTTTGAAGAGAGGGACCACTACGCCGGTCTGCCAATCCAGGGTTACTGTCCCTGACCACAACACAAAACTGCAGAGACGTGTCAGCCAAGGCAGTCCTAAAACATCCAGAAGCGAATCTCAGGGTCAGCCTCTAAGTCCCCGGCCTCTGCCTACTCCTCGAAAGGCGTGATGATGGGATTGAGGAGATCCTAAAAGTACTCCTTCCACCACCCGACAATATCCCTAGTCAAGGCCAGCAGCTCCCCACCTGAACTGCAAACAGTGTTGGTGAAGCACTGCTTCCCCATCCTCAGGCGGCGAACAGTTTGCCAGAACACTTTCGAGGCCGACCGAACTCCTCCTAGGTTAATATTTAGACTGTTTTAATTGTTGCAGTTCATGAGGATAGTTTTCTTTGCAATACTTAAAGGAATAGTACACCCAAAACATGATTAGCCTTCATTTTCTACTCACCCCCATGCTGAACAACACTCTGGAGTACTTTTTTGNATTATTATTATCTCTAAATCTGTTGTTAAAAGTATTATTTGAAGTGTAGCAAACAAAAGCAGAAATTGTGATAATTTTTCTCATGTGAATTGCTGCTCTGGTTAGAGAATTTCTACTGCAGATCTAAAGATGTTTTTGTTCTTCAGATTCAACATGTTTGCCTTTCATGAGCACATTTCTCTACAGCTCTGAATTATTAATACTCTCACATATTATATATTTAAAGACTAAAAGTGTGAGAGTCTGATGTTACTTTGAAGAATTGGACGATGAGATCATAAGTTACTGTAAAATCAAAAGCGTCTCAGACCAACTTCTGCTTAGTGGATCTGAGTGTTTGGTTCGTTTCTGTTGAGCTCCAGCTGAAAAGACAAATTGATGATTTATTTGTCATTGCTTCTATTTCTGTCCAGGTAATGATCTGTTCCTGGTGGCGGTCCATGAGTTGGGTCACGCCTTGGGGTTGGAGCACTCCAACGATCCCAGTGCCATCATGGCCCCGTTCTACCAGTACATGGACACGCACAACTTCAAGCTGCCTCTGGACGACCTGCAGGGCATACAGAAAATCTACGGTCAGGAATTTAATAGTAATAAAAAACAAAAATAAATGTTTTTTGTCTGACAGAATAATGCTGGAAGGTTGGAAGAATAGAGGTTGAATCTGATAGATGTGGTGAACTCTTTGAGGTGTCAGTGAATAGCCTGAACACAACATTTCACTCTAAATCTAAAAGCAAAAACTTGCAAAAGTAAAAACAGCGAACTGTTTGTATGAATTATTAATGCTGAGTCCCAAAGAGCTGCTGAATAATGAACATTATTCAACGTCCAGCAGCCTGGCTCTGTTTGAAGAATGAAAACGGATCAGAACCAGCAGCTTTTACATGGAAAGAGGAAAATTATAGGGAATAAAATGTGCAGCTTTGCCTCCGAGTTTTCACCAGAGACTCTTTGTAGCACAGACACAAAGATGGCCTCCATCTCAATCGGCTCTGATTGAAAACAAAGCGTTGATAGGCTTTCTGTTTGCTGTGAGGAATAATCAGCCCGGGCTTCAGTTGAAATGTGGTGGAACAATTATCTGTGATGCAGAGACACAAGAGAAGAAAGAGAAAGCATCTGCAGGGTCAGAGATAAGCTTCACATTTCCAGCCACATCATCCGCTACGCTCACTGAGCTCCAGGATTCACAGTTGGTTCACGGTTCCTCTGCTTCACTTAAACCATCAAAGCTGGAAGACCCTCACACCCCCCCTCCCCCGGATAAAACCTGAGAATCACCTCAAAGGCCATGATGCATGGCTGACATTTCATTTCAGGGAGATATTGACAGGAAACATTAGATCAACATGGCCCTCAGCGGTCTGTGAAGACACCTGAGCAGGTTCATCAGGTTGCTCTGAAAGGTGGAAAAGCCACCAAACACCGGCACTAACAGCTTTATTTCCCAGTGAAGCTGACAGTCAGGAATCCGTTTGTCTGTTACTTCTCTCAGTAGATCAAAGAGTCATTCTACATTATCTCTGAAATAACAGACCCAGAGATGTTTCTGAACAACTCAACCCCACGCAGCCTTAACAGGACTGCAGAGAAAAAATGAAATAAGCAGACTAAAGAGAGGCACAATTAAAGAATACAAAGAACAGAAAAAAATACAAAGTATATATATGTTTACAAAGAAAACTAAAACTGTCACTGATTGTAAAGAAAAAAACATATAATTTTTTTATTAAAGAGAGAATAACAAAACAAAAAAAGGAATGATGATGATGATGATGATGATGATGATGATGATGATGATGATGATGATGATGATGATGATGATGATGATGATGATGATGATGAAAGTAAGTAAGTAAATCATTCAGTCAGTCTTTGCTTCTGTACCCACAGGGATCCCCACCCCCATGCTGGAACCCACCCGGCCGTTACCCACGCTTCCTTCCCGACGGACCCACTCCACCTCAGAGTGCAATAATGACCGGCACTCCCGGCCAGGCCGTCCACCTGGAGAGAGACCAGCTCTTCCTGGGAACGGCAAGCCTAACATCTGCGATGGCAACTTCAACACTGTGGCCTTCTTCAGGAAGGAGCTGTTTGTCTTCAAGGTGAGCTGAGACACAGAGCAGGAAGGGACGGTAGTACCTGTCCCCAATCTAGGTAAAATTCCTTTAGTTTAAGCTTAAAGAGGTGCAGAAGGTGCTACTTTGTGTAATTACCGGGTGTTGTGGTCCAGATGGTGAGTCATACAGTCCTGTCGTGCTTTAAAGAAACAGGATGAAACAGATAAAGGTTAATTAGACGGAAAGAAGGATGGAGGAATTTGCTGCTTCCTGGAGAATGTGGATGCTGACATTTTCACTAATGACATATGACTCATCCTTGAAGGGCTGCACGATACAGCAGTGGGTGGCGCTGTTGCCTTGCAAGAAGGCGGTTCTAGGTTATAATCCCAGTTCAAGGTCTCTCTGTCCATGTCTTGGTTCCCACTGGTCCCAAAATCTGAT